CCCCCCAAGGAGAACATCCGTTTTCAACAAATGCTCATTGTGCGATTCCGCCAATTGAATGTGTACTGTGATTGCATGTTCAATATTTACATGCATCAGGCGAAGGGTTTTCAGCGCAATTTCGAAGGGCGTGCAGGAAATTCTGTCTACGGAGCATCACCCCCGCGATTGACCGCCTCGAACAGGCCCACGTCCTCGAGAGATAACGCACTTAGTCGGTGTGGACATGGTCTGTGTGTGTGTGTGTGTGTGTGTGTGTGTGTGTGTGTGTGTGTGTGTGTGTGTGTGTGTGTGTGTGTGTGTGTGCTTGTTGCGTTGTGCTTGTTGTGTTGTGCGTTTGATGCATACGCTTACAAAACACCGCTGTTCTCCCCCTTTCCCCTTTCTTCTCCAAACGGTCATCACCACTTCAGGACCTGCAAAAATATGCGGACAAGAAGAAGCGAGAGTCCAAGTCGTCGCTGGCGACGAAACTGCAGCACTTGAAACGCGACCACCGCCGCCAAGTCAAGGAGGAGGGCGCAGACAAGAAGGTGACGCACCTGCACTTGCTGTGGTGGTGGTGGTCGTCGTGTTGGTGGTCGTCGTCCTGAGTAGCGATTGCGGTGTTACTGAAGTTGTTGTTGTTGCTGCTGTCGTTGAGTGAAGGGAAAGGATGCTCCTCGCACTGTGTTGTGCAGACGATTGTGCTCACAATTCATTGCAACTACCACAACTCCGCTGCCACTTTGACACACACTCACACGCACGCGCACGCACACGCACACACACACACACACTGCCTCCCACTGCACGTGTCAGGAGCTGAAGAAGTTGGCCAAGGAGCAGACGGCGCAGCTGCAGGACAAGCGCAAGTCGGAGTTCAAGGTACACTGCCTGCTGCTGCTGTTGCTGTTGTTGTTGTTATTACTGCTGCTGTTCCTCGCTCCTGCGGCTACCTCTCACTCACACCACACGCATGCGCGTATTTTGTGCGTTCTGTATGTGCTTGCAGGCAACGTCGCTGGGGTATGTGGACGCGCGGATGAAGATGCTGCGGGCACAGCAGCAGATTGCGGCGGCGCGGCTGAGACTTGAGCACTTGGAGGAGGTGCGGATCGCTCACATGATAATATGCACATGTTGAGGCGCGTTCGTGGTGTTCAAACATCTCGACAGCACCCGTTTACCCTTTGACTTGCACGCACACGCATGCATGTACACACTCACTCACACTTATGCCCACACTCGAACCCACACACTCACACTCACACACACTCACTCGAACCCACACACTCACACTCACACACACTCACTCACACACTCACTCACACACTCACTCACACACTCACTCACACACATACACACACACATACACACACGCATGCATGCGCACTCACTCACTCACACACGCATGCACACCCCTACTCCCTCCTCTCATTCCTCGCCCATGTGATTTCGGTGTGCGTGGTCGCGTCGCATGACAGGAGCTGATGCTGAAGGAGAAGCATCTTGGGCAGCGTCTGGACATGGTTGTCGGCCACGAGACGGAACGCGTGCACCCGATCATGCGCACGCACCGCTTGCAGATGCAGGAGCTTGAGATGGAGTACGCAAACGAGCGTGAGAAGTTGGAGATTGCGCACTTGCAAGAGAACCACGCACAGGTGCAAGTGAGCACTAAGCGCAAACACACCGTCCAGGCCAGAGCACACGACAAGCAGTGAGTTGCATCGTGTGGGCGGGTGCTCATGTGTGTACGTGTATGTGTATTGTGTTACGTGTGCATGTGTGTGTGTGTGTGGTTGTGTGATTGTGTGATTGTGTGTGTGTATATATTTACCTCCGTGTGTGTATGTGTACCTGGGCGTATCTGTCTGTGCGGGGTGCATGCATATGTTGTCATCATTTTGCTCATTGTCTGTCGTGCTTGTTCTGCAGGCTGAAGAAGCTGAGTGTACATGATAAGAAAGTACAGGAGGCGTTCCGCAGACAAACGGCACAGGTCTGTCTCGTGTGTGTGGGGGGGGGGGGGGTGCGCGCGTATGAGCGTGTGTTAATGCGTGTGTTCATGCGTGCGTGTGTGCGCGTGTTTGCTTGCATGAGAAAGCTCTGCTGCACGTTTGCAGTTGAGAGTCAGTATTGCATGCGCGGCAGACCTGACACACACACACACACGCGACCGCGTGTGTGGGTTTTTGTTGGTTTGGGCTGTGCAGCTGGATGAGCTTCAGGCTGTGAAGGAGCGAACGAAGAAAGGCACGGCGGACCGCAAGCAGGCGAAGAAGCTTGAGAAGTTGGAGAAGCAGGCGCTGAACGAGGCGAGGCAGTCTGTTGTCGCACAGGCCACCATCCGCCTCAACGAATCCCAAATCAAGGAAATCAACGACCTCCGCAGGCAGCAGGACGAGGTGCACATGTGCTGTTTGGTTTCGTGTGTGTGTGTGTGTGTGTGTCTGCGTCTGTGTGTCTGCGTCTGTGTGTCTGCGTGTGTGTGTGTGTGTGTGTGTGTGTGTGTGTGTGTGTGCGTGTGTGTGTGTGTGTGTGTGTGTTGGTGGCCGTGCTTTCCTATTTGCGTGCTGTCCGTGTTTCTTTTCTTTGTTTGCTTTCCTACTTGCATGTGTCTGTGCGTCCCTACTGGTGTGTGTCAACCACGAGTGCGTGCTTGTTTTGACACGATGCAACGTCGCTTGTGTGCGTGGCGTGTGCACAGGAGATGTCTGAGCTTGAGGCGTTCTTTGAGCAGCGGCGGGAGCAAATGTTGAAGGCGCACGAGCAGCAGCTGCAGGAGCTCGACCAGCACATGAAGGACGAAGCAAACGCCGCCGTCAAGGTCTGCCCACGCCGCGACTTCACAAACACACACTGACACGCTCACATGATTGCACGCGCATATTTCACACCCTCACACGCATATTTCACACCCTCGCGCGCTCACCGTCACTCTCCCATCCTCACCCTCACAAACACCTCACACACACACACACACACACACACACACACACACACACACACACACACACACACACACACACACACACACACACACACACACACACACACACACACACACACACACACACAGTTGAAGGCGACTGAGCTGAGCAACTTCCAAAAGGGGCGGGACACGAAACTGGAGCACGAGCGGCAAAAGTTTTCGGAGCTGGAGGAGGAGATGTCGGCGGTGATTGAGGCGGAACGCAAGCGAGCAGAAGAACTGGACAAGGCGTGGTATTCATGAAGATGCGATGCTTCTTGTAGTCTGCAAGCAAGAGTTATGTTTTGTTGTTGCTGCTGCTTTGTTTTTGTTTTTCCTCGTTTTCTCGCTTGTTCCTTTTCATCCCCTCCTTCCTTCCTTCCTTTTCTTTCTCTCTTGCCTGTTATTGTGCAGACAACCCGCCATGTTTGTGTCTGTGCGCGTGCGTTTGTGCGTGAGCGTGATTGTTGTCCACGTTGACCGCCATGCCAGGCAAGAAGCAAACATGCACCCGAAAGCAAGCCCTGACAGTCATACTGCAGTGCATCGAGACCACCACAATCGTCATCCACGCAAGTCGTGTGGTGGAGTTCGTTGGGTGAGCTTGCTTGCTTGCTTGCTTGCTTGCTTGCTGACTTGCGTCAAGCACAGCCTCGCATCCAATAAACTTGGCGACAGGCAGCAAGTTGCATAAAGGGGGAAGCGCGACATTCGCGCGCCCGTGCGGAATCGTTGAAGACTTCAATGAAATTTCAGCATTGTATTGCTCACGCAAGCAAAGTCTTCATTGTGCCCCTCTGCATTTCGTTGTCTTGTTGTTTTGTCTGTGTGCGTGCCAGCAACACACAAGAGCAACACCAACACACAGCCAAGCCGAGCGAAGCAAGGCAGAGCGACACTTTGGCTGAAAGACACACGCAAACCTTTGTTGTTGTGTGTGTCTGCTGCTCTCACTCCCACACACCCTCCTTTCTCCATCTCCCTGTTGTGTTCTTTGTAGCAAGAAGCACGCCAGCCAGTCAGTCACCTTTGCTTTGCTTGTTGCTGCGTTCATTCGTTCGTGGAGTTGCTTCACGCTTGTTTACACTTGCGTTTGCTTCACCAGCTCCCTCCTTTTCTCCCTTTGCTCCCTCATTCTCCCCTTCTTCTCTCCTTCTTCTTGCTTCTTCTCTTCTTCTTCTTCTCCTTGGCTTTCGTTGCACGCGTGCAAAGCTTGCGTCGGCGGTCGGTGTTTCTTGCCCCCGCCTTGCATCTTGCTTGTTCCCCTCAAGTGGTTGCATGTGTGTGCATGTGCGAGTGTGTCAACCCGGACACATCCCCACCCCCGCTTTGTTACGTTACTCCTCCTCCATACACACCCCACCCACATACGCAACCGCCGCGCTTGCATGGGCGCGCACGACACAGGCCTCTCGACTTTCTGCTGTGTCGTTTGCCGTTTGTCTCATCATTCACCTCGCAACGCCGCCACGGGCACGCCGCTACAACTGCTGTTGCTGCCTCTACTGCTGCCTGGTAAGTGTGATGATGGCCACCCACCCGTCGTCCACCCATCCATGTTTGGCTTTTGGCCTGTGATGGGCCGAACTTTCGTGAGCCAGCAACACGCATGCTGCGCACCACCACCACCATGTGCCCCAAAGCCCCCCCCCCCAGCAATCACATCAACACATCCAATGAATGCATGCCATCAATCTTGCTTGCTTGCCTGCTTGCTTGCTGGGCCATCACACACATACACCGCACAACACACTGCACGAACACACACAACATGCACGCACGTACACCTGCTTGCCATCCCACCCCAACATCACACGCACACACAAGCAAGCATGACTGCGCATGTGTCATCACTCCATTTACATTTCCGTTGCTGTGTCTGCCTTTTCGCTGTGTCGTTCCTTCCTTCCACAAACACACACACCACGAGTGTGCGACAAGCCACTTTCGACAACCCACACACACTCACACTCTCCCACACACAGACACACACACACACTCTCTCTCTCTTTTTCTCCATTCCCTTACCCACCTCATCCACACCTTCCATACTTCCACCGACAAACTTTCCATTCACTCACACTGCTTCCCCTTTGTCGTACACTGCCATACCACCTCAGACCACACTCCACCGCCCGCAGCGGCTCTGGACGTGAATCAAATCAAAACACGACATCAAGCAACACACCCACCTTCCACCAGCACGGAACACAGCAAGCCAGTTACCAACCCACCAAGAGCAACCAATCAGCCAACCCACGAAGCAACCGACCCATTCAGCCAACCCACGAAGGCTGGCCAGCACCACTTCCACTTCCACTCACACACGCCACCACCCCCCCCCTCCCAACATCAGCCACACCATGCCACCAAAGTCTCCGCTGTCGCCGACGTCCCGCGCCAGCTCCATCAGCCAATATCTGGGCGAGGATGTCGGTGAGCGGCGCCGAATCATCCAACCAGACCACCTCAGCTTCACCCACTGCCTGGGCTCGGGCACCTTTGGCGAGGTGTTTCTGGCCGGGTGGAAGAACCGGTTGGTCGCTGCCAAGAGCATCTTCGACGATGAGCTGTTCCGCGAGGAGGCGGAGCTGCTCAGCGTCCTCTCCCACCGCAACATCATCCGCTACTACGGCGAGGTGCTCCAGTGCGACGCCGTCACCACCGTCACGGACGAGGTGTTCAACCTCAGGGGCCGCCACCTCCTCGTCACAGAGTACATGCCCGGCGGCACGCTGCACAACCGCATCTACAGCGACGAGGCATACAAGCTCCACGACATGATCTCCTGGATGCTTGACATTGTCAGCGCCCTCGCCTACCTGCACTTTGACGGGCCCGCCTGTATCCTCCACCTCGACCTCAAGCCCCTCAACGTGCTGCTCACCCGCGGCGGCGTGTGCAAGCTGGCCGACCTCGGTGCCGCCATGCCCGCCATCAGCAAGAGCAAAGGCACCATCGAGCAGAAGAACAGCTCAGACAACCTCTCGCAGAAGGTGTGCGGCACCCCGCGCTACATGGCGCCCGAGGTCATTCGCGGCTCCCACTCCCTCACAGACCGCGCAGACATCTGGTCCTTTGGCGTCCTCTGCGCCGAGCTTGTTGCCCGCCAAACGCCCTTTCCCGAGCTCAGCAACAACTTCACCATCTCCTTCCTCGTCGGCACCAGCTTCAAGCACCCCGACCTGCCCCCGACCATGACACCAACCCTGCGCTCGCTGCTCCTGCAGACGTGGCTGCCGCAGCCGCAGGACCGCCCCTCTGCACACCACATCCGGCACGAGCTCGAGACGTACCTGTGCAAAGTCGTCGCTCGCCATGAGGAGGATGTCACCATCAGCACCTCCGCCAGCAGGGGCGCGTCTGTGTCCGGGTCAGGGTCCAACGGTAGCGCCCGCGACTCCCGCACGCCAGATGGTGTGCGCGGTGGCAGCCTGGGGGAGCACCTGTTCTCCGATGACGATGACGAAGAGGACCTGTCCAGCGGCCTTTCCTTCAACATTGGCCAGCACACGCAGCTCAACCGCCCACAACAACACCACCACCACCACCACCACCACCACCACCACCACCACCTCCCACAGCGTGGCGACGTGGCTGCTGCACACAAACACCACCACAAACACCGCTACAGGCTGCGGCGGCAGCAGGCGCAGCACAGCGCCGGCGGTGAAGAGGAGGAGCACGTGGACAACGGATATGAGGAGGACACGGAGGACGGTGATGAGGAATTGAGAGATGAATACGACCC